ATTGTTTTTTGTTGTACGTCCGGTAAATACCGTTTGTAAAATATGTCATTTCTTGTAGTGAATCAATCTCTGATTCAACTATCGAAGGAATACTGTCATCACACCGTTCAAGGTATTTTCAGAGTGACAGATGAACTCGGCTTTGTGTGTACGAGAAGTAATTTGCTCCGTAACGGCTGTTGTGACCAGTTAAAAAGGACGTCAAGTCGCTTCCTTTGTTCTAAATGTTCGACTCTTCGTTGCTGTTCAACGTATGAGTATTGTGTCTCTTGCTGTCTCGACCCCGTTAATGTATGTGTACTCATATAGTGTCGAAATTGTGCTTCATCGCTCATACTTGAAACGATTTCATACTATTTTACTCAAAATTACAACCGAGGCGATTTAGCCCAATGCGCCCCATTGTACGAAGGCTGGAACCTTTGAGCATCTAACCATAGAATATGCATATTCACTAAAACTAAATGTATTCCCACGTTTTTTTATCCCTAAGTTTAGATATGTACTTTTTCTTAAGCTTGAACTTTGGAAGAGAGCATTGGAATTAGCCAAACTCAAAGCCCAGCTGGACGTTTTATCTGCGACATCTGTGTTTGAGTTCTGTTCAGCCCGTTGTCGAACTTCATCTGAGGTAAATTTTATCAGCCATGTACTTTCCCTTCTGCACCACACTTTTCGTGCTGCGACTTGGCGGAATCCATGTTGTATGGATTACTGTCCGTTCTATCCCATTTCCGAACCAGGTGTTCCTTAAAATCTCGCTTATTTTTTCCACATTTTTTTTCACGAAATAATTGGTGGCACATTATTGATGATTTAGTCAGTTGTCAATACGAACGCCTATAGGGATCCTAAACACCGATTTTGCTTCGGTATTGATCCTCCGGAACTGAAGCTGATGTCGAATTCGGGAAACACCACCTTGTGAGCGTTTACTGTCTATTTTACATTTCACAAGTTATCTATATACGCTGAATGAACTAGGTCAATGTAAACTGATTCTATTCATCTCAACGTCAGTAATGCAAGTCCTATGGGAAAATTTGAGTGATTTTTTTATGTTGGTTTGAGATTTTATGATTTAGGTTTTAGTAGTTTTACTCTAAAACATTCATTTCATGATCATTCTTCGCTTATAGGGTACGTTAACGCTAGAATCGGTGTTTGAGATCGGCGGCTTCAGATATGATTGGCTGGCGCATTTAAATTTTGTACCTTCTGCATTATTGTATCCTCTCCAGTAGTGCTTGTACTGTTCTTCTTCGCATTACCAAAGATGGCGGTCTAGGATCTGGGTGGGGGGTACCGTAGCTACATCGGGTTCTGGATTCGTGCGGGCGGTCTTCGGGTTCCTCGGCGTCAGTTGGTCGCCACTGGTGGGTAGCGGGGTTGCGAGTGCACAGATTCTCCTCTGTGGTCTTACCGTGCCTCCGACTGCATTAGATGCGCTCACCAGGCGCAGGTTTGACCGGTATCATGAGACCGAGGCAGGAGGAGTGACTCCGATTCGTTGGGGATTGCTAGTCATTTATTTGGTGGTGGGACAGAGGATCTCCGCTGGGATGGTCACGGTGGTTGGCGGTCGTGATAAGCATCGTCTGCGGAGGGTTGGTTGATGAAGCTATTCATCTAAGGCCATAAATGTTCGACTGCATTTCGACATAATTAGCTTTATTTAGGAGTAGCTAAATATTTTACTTAATCTGCTATGGTGAAACCTGTCGAGGCTTGTGCGCAGCCCCGGTTAACTTTACATTTTTGTTAAGATGCGTTAAAATAATCAAAACGAAAACCCCAATTGGTCCTTGATGTCGATTGGTTCACTTTGAGGCAATATATGGCTCGTGCAAACGTGCCCTCCGTTTCGTCAGTTTTTTTCTCATTGTCAAATAATCGGGAAATATGTTTGCGAATTTCTCTAATATTTTGAATTTTGGTAGCATATTCTCTTTGGTGGTGCTTCTTATGGTGTGCTCCTCGAAATCCCATGATTCCTTTGACAACCAGAACTTATTGATGGATCCTGGTGTTCTGTTGCAAAAACTCTTTTCCAAGTATGAAAGAAACGGGAGTATTTGTGCCCATGGCCTAGATAAGCTTATTCGAAATATGAGGCATCCGGAGAAACAGGTGATTTGGTCTCTCATTTTGTCATCCTTTACTCTTGTGCTTCAATATTACATTTTTTTCTTCACAGTGCTTCGCAGTCAAAGATATGCTAAATGGAACCCTTAATGAGGGTACATTTAAGGAGATTTTGCCGGTACTTATTTACGATCTTGTTGAGAACAACTGTTCATTGGTATTGGATGACCACCATGATCACGATCGTCATGATGATTTGGTACCTGGCCAGGATTGGAAGGGTGGGTGATGTCGCAAACGCAAACTTTACGTTCCACAATTGATTTTTTTGGTTCCTGATACCATAAGGTCTTTAGGTATTCTGGTAACTTGAAGGTATTCGCTAATTCATAGACCTTTAATTGACCATCAAACAGCGCAATTTCTTTAATTCTGCATATACGTCATCTTTTGACGTTCGTGTTTTAAATGTAGTTTTATTGTTACAGTTTGGGGTGCCAGTATCGGTGCTGTTGTCGTGATAAATATGTCTGGTCTGGTTGTCGTCGTACTTATCCCGTTGATGTCGAGGAAAATATTCAATGTTGCTAGTCAGTTTCTTATCGCATTATCTGTCGGTTCTCTGATTGGAGATGCGTTTTTGCATTTGATCCCTCATGTAAGCTCTTCGTTGTCTCGCTATTTAGTTGTTTGCTTGGTACCCAATTAAATGAATGTTAGCTATATTGGGAACAAATTTTGTGTATTTTTTACATTCTTATACCTTACCGAAGATCCTCGTTTTAGAGTTTTAATTGATTACTTGTCCCACTTATTAGCCACTTGCGCTAAACCTAGCAACGTTTTTGTATTTCTCGGCCTCATTTGTCGATCAGTTTGATTCGTAGCGCAGTCTACAACAATGGCCTGGTATTGCCTTTTTGGCTTAAACTATCTTGTATTAGGCTTTAAGTTGTATCTTTGTCAATGCATTCAATTAGGCTCTTTTGTCGGACGGAACAGAGAGCCATGGCCATTCACACGGTACCCATGATGGGGACGATAATCAGCATGATGCCCTTGTATGGAAATCAATGATTGTCATTTTGGGAATCTACGCCTTCTTTTTAACGGAGCGCCTTACAATTATTTATCAGAACAGCGCTTTTACGCGTAAACTGAAACGCAAGCAGGTACGTCTCCTTAGAAGTCTCTTGCATGAATAGTAGTTCTATAGATAGCATGAATGGCATACGATAGTATGTTTAAAGACTAAACCAGACTGATTTTTTCGATGAATCAGTACAGATGCATGGATTTGTAGCGGATGTTATAGGATTTTCGTTTGAGACGTAGCGTATTTTTTCATTCCTTTATGTGTTTGCGCGAAGATCTAACGTAAAATTTTAGGAGTCTTATTTTGCTTCATTTTTTATTATCGGCTCCAGTGCCAGCTATCGCGCACTCTTTTGCTCATTTGAAAATTCCTGGAATCGTTTTTCTTATCGTTTTTTTTGAAGAAAGTAGCCTCAAAACCTCCTACGGCACCTGAAGAGATGTCCGGTCCAGTAGTCAACGGTGGCGCTTCCTTGACAAACCAATCATCCGGCAGTACACCACCCACCCCACACACCCCAAGCACTCAGCTTTTTGTTAATTTGAATCAGTGCCCTTCGAGTCAAGCTCCTCGTGCTAATATCGTCGGTGACATTGATGCCTCTTGTGGTATGGTAAGTGGAGCATTGCGACACGGTCAAGGCGTTTTCTCCTCATTTCAGCTTGACTTATTGGTTGGAGTTAAATTATGGAGTTACTGTAGAATTTTTCTCAGTCCTGTGTGATTAATTTCAAGAGCTTTTACACCCTAAATAGGATCCGCAGGAGTAAAGTTACTCAACTTCCTGCTACGCTCATTTTGCTCCGATAAATCCTGATATTTATGCGTTTTAGAAAATGCCATAGTAGTAAATCTGTTCGGTGTCTTTGTTTAGCTTTTTCTTGATACCTACATCGATACAATGTCTCCCATATCCTTGTTCTCTTTTTTATTTCAACATTCCGAATGTGTTCTTTGTGCACCAAGTTATTGTTTAAATTATGATCTCATTTCTCAACCAGTGTCCAGTGCAAGAACTGCGCCGAACTCCGGTTTCGGCAGTGTGCCTTTGGCCTCAATTGTGGACCGCTGATACATTACGGTTTTTTACTTGCGCAAATAATGGGCCGGTAGTACCTTACTTATTGCACAATCTTCTGTAGACTGAAACATCTGCTTCCAGACACCTTTGCAACCACCCATCTTCTAGGCCTCTCCATGACGTCCGATGTTCCGAATTTCTCGTCGGTAAGTGCTTGGCGGCTGCTAACCTATGAATAACATAGGACGTTATTTTGGACACGTTTGCTCCTCTGTGATACGTAGTCATTTTATCTGGAGTTTTGTCAAGTCGATCCAAACTCGAAAGATACTGTAGGCATGTTTTTCTCCTGAGCTGACAGCTATTACACCGATCACTGATGTGTGCTAGTTTTTCTCATTGCTGAACTCGTTGCCATTCCTACCCATAATATTGCTAAGTTTGATTTACCTTTGTTGCTCACTGTTCGCGGTGGGATGGTCTCCGTTGGCCCCTGTCCATTATGACTTAATTATCGAGCAGGAGTGATTTTATGCTGTTTGAATCATGCATGCACCCCGCCTGATACAGACTTAATAACATAAATTTCTTTCGAAGCTCCTGAAGCAATTCATTGGCTTGTTCCCCCTTCTGATAATGCTATTGATAATTTCCCTCAGACGAAAAAGGTACTATTGCCAACGGTTTACAAGGGCTTGCGGAGATCAGCAGAACAGAACTACTGCTTTCTCAACAGGCGCATCAACCCAATATGGGTGTCAATAATACTGCTGTTGCCTTGGCTCTTGGCGAGGGTTCAGGTGATCCCTTGACGAAACAAACCAAAACTGACAGTGATGATGATTTGGGGAAGGTTAGTCTGCGCTACTATCTTTCTGTATACCCATTTCTTTTTGCCTTGTTTCAATGTCTGACAATTTTCTCGATCTCGTTTGTTTGCTTGGCCATATTGCGGTGGAGGATGATGCTTTGATGCAAATTTCGCACAAGCATTTTGGTCCATCTGCGTCAGACTTTCAATGCGCAAAAGGAAACCTAACGATGCAGCACACGGGCTGCCGCATGATTACATAATGTGTACCAGTTTTTTTGCGGATTTTATGATACTTTTTGTGATTCTAGATTTTGCTTAATACTACCTAGTTTTACTGTATGTTTAGATCTGAATTCTGGGTTTTTTTCTCTACTAGGCGTCTGCCCATAAACTATTTTGTTCGCTTGCAAATCCGGCACTATCTCCAGTGTCACCGCATTTACGTCCATAACCTCAACTCATTTTGTGTGCCAGCAAGCATGGCTTGGCCGTCAACTCCGATCATGTGGCACGATTAACTTCGTTCGTCTGCGTTTGTGTGTGAACGCGTTATCACCTTCTGTAGAAAGCATCAGAAACGCGCTTGAACATGGGTCATGGTCTGCTCCGCCACTTTCGTCACTTTTGTACTCATCAGTGAGAATGGGTTCAAAATGCGAACATTTATTGGCCCATATTTTGCGTCTAAAATATCATTCCGCACCATGCCGCTTTTGTCGTTTTATAACTCCATGATTACGTCGGGATGTGTAAGACCGTCATTATCAGCTTAAATCTCGATTTTGACGGTAATGTCTCTCGGCCTAAATGGCTCGAGTAGCAGGTTCGTGATATTGAGCCTTTTCACTCAACCTCGTTTAGAAAGGGTAAAATATTTCTCAAATGCTTTGGGAGACATTTTTCTGACCTTGATTTTGACATCATTGCTATTTTTTATACCAGATGAATCTTTTAATCGCTGTCTACCAGCTGATCCATTCAGACAGTCGATCTTTGGCCTTCGAGGCAGTTTGATAGTTTATTTTACCCTTGTTTGTTTAGGTCCATGTCAAAGCAATGGGGTTGTTGATTTCTAAATTCCCAACTTATTCAACTTCACTTGAACGTCAGCGAATACGCACATTAATATTTATGATCCAAGGAGTCATACGGATTTTGTAATCGGAGTCTATAATTTTAAGTTCCGCAAATCTGTAAATGGATCTGATGTGGGTTTATTGTAGACACAGTCGCTAGACATGAGCTGTCATGAGGATGGTCACGCGCATCATGAGCACGGCCATCATCATCACCACCATCATCCTCATGGGCACGGGCACCATTACAGGAAGCCTCATGGGCACCACCACGGCCACAGCCATGATCTGAGCTCGGTGAAGGCCATCGCGTGGACTCTCCTCGTCGGTGATGGACTACACAAGCTATGCGACGGCATTGCCATCGGCGCCTCCTTTGAGGAGAGCCTCCAAGGCGGTCTTTCTACTTCGCTGGCCGTCCTCTGCCACGAACTACCTCACGAGCTCGGTTAGTTTTCTCTGCTCCTCTTCTTCTTTTACCTCTTTTCTCTCACAACGCCATTTGAACCGAAGGTCCATAGTTATTTCCAGGGATACAACAAGGGTTTTATGGAAAATCATCTTCTTGAATAAACAGTGAGGATGGTTCGAGATCTCCTTCTGCGAAAAAAACGCTCCATAAAAGATAGTGCTTTTCTGGAGCAATAAAATACTTTACTAAAACGCTTCCTTCATTATTAGAGTGAGTCTGTTGTGAAAAGTAGCACCAACGTCGCTCGGTCTCTCTAAATATTGAGTGAGCGTTATTGGAGTTAAGGCAACGCTAGGAAAGCAAATGTTATAGTCCTCATCAAGGCAACTTTTACTTTTAGCAAACTGTCAGACACAGGTATTGTCACGTGGGGCTTGTAGGTCGCTGGCCTGGAGCGAAAAATTCGGATTGACTTTTTTGCTTTATTGTGAATTCGATAGTGTTTTGTGTTCATCGAATGTGACGTTGCGTTACTTTTTTGATCCTCCGATGACCGCGGTTGAATTTGGGTAACACAAAGGTTTCATGCTGTGCCGTATAGAAATCATCCTAGAAATGATAATTACAGCGTCAGGATACTAGCATAAGTACATTTTAATTTAATGGGGTTAACGACTTTTGACGTTGTGCTTAGAACTTTTCCCGCAACTGATGTGTTCTCTTAAGTTGGCGTGTCTATTTCACCACCATTTATCAACAAATGAGCTATTTTATAATTTTTTGGTGCACTTTACGTGAAAGTAGCCTTGTAGTGCGTTTATGTTTATCTAATCCTTTGAAATAAAGATTCTTTAGTTATCGCAAGTTATTTCCCCGATAAAAATGCACTCTGATGCAGACGAATTACCGGAAATGGGCTATCGAACCTACTGGTCCATAGGCTCGGGTTCATTGCGACACCGCATGAGCAGTAATGCGCAACCTATAGTGGAGATGGAAGCCATTATTGCGACCACAGACTCCTCGCCATTATATTTCCGACAATTTCTAAGTTAGATGACTAAATAGTTGTCTAGATTTCTATTCATTACTCTTTCAATGATGTGAAGGCACGTCAGACAATGATCTAGCTTTTTAATAACTATTGTCTTTAGGGGACTTTGCGATTCTCCTGCACGCAGGCATGTCGGTGAAAGCAGCCTTGTTCTACAGCACTCTCTCGAGCATCTTCTGCGCCGCTGGCATGGTGCTTGGTGTCCTCCTTGGCTCCATGCCCTCAGTGAATCGCTGGCTTTTTCTAATCACTGGTGGCATGTTTGTCTACCTAGCACTTGTCGACATGGTGAGTCTCCGCTTCCGTCTCTACCATGCCTAAAAATGTTTCTCTATGTTGTCTCATACCTCCTATTTCTTGGGTAACTTTTCCCTTAAGAATTTAGCTGCCTAGAAACTTGGTGTTTGGCTTGAAAGTTTACTATGGTGATGCATTTTTTCGTAGATGTCTTGTTCCAATGCGTCTAATGCCTTCTGAACCAAATTCACCCATGGTTTTTGCCTACTGATTTCGTTCTAGTACAACTTCATTAGATCAAGATCACACTCTAATGAAGACGATGCAGTGCTACTATTGCTCTTGATGAAGTCCCAGAAAGGCTAGTTAATCATTTTGGGCTGAAGAGGCTTGCATTTCCGGCAGCATCACCTACTTTTTGACGCATTTCAGTGAATTAAAATGGTGAAACACTTACCCTACATAGAAGTGCAAACATTTATAAATAGTGGTTTTTTTTACTATTTCAGATGCCGGAATTGGCAACTACTCGCATGAGCGGTCACCTTCACTGTCACACGCCCAGTGTCTTGTTCTTTTGGCAAAATGTTGGACTTATCATTGGTGTTGCCACCATGCTAGTCATAGCTAAGTTTGAAGGAGTTATGTGATCACCATTTGCTCCTTCCCCAAATCTTCTCTGATTCCTTCTTCCTTTCTCACTCTTTATGCCGCCTATTCATGTGAGGTTCATCCACCCTCTCCCTTCTGTTATATATACCTATGATACTGTCAACTTAGCAGACATGGTCGCATTGTTTCTTAGCTAAATAACATTTGCTACCGAACATTCATGACGCGTTTCTTCTCTTCTCACTATGAAAATCCTAGCGTTTCTCCTTCAGTCCTTTGCCTTAAATGCTACGGTGCGACAACGAGGGCGGTTGTTTCAGAAGGATTCAACTACATTCATGTCCAACTCACAGTTGTATGTCGCTGGATAAATAAACCTGAGTAAACCATAATGTTCGTTTCCTTTTTTGTTGGAGAGATGTTATTGTCATCAGATCTATCACTCGTATTCGAAAATGGGTTGGTGTCAGTGGGAGCACTCCTAGTGTTGACATGTTATAACGTCGACGAAATTCATAGTTGTCAAAAGTGATTTAACTAATTTGGTTAAGTCTGAACACCACTCCACCTCCTATTTTGCACCGAATCGGTATTTTCCCGTTTTGCTTATGCACAAAATAAAGGATTTCATACTTACTAGAATTTAATGAAAACATTTATCATTGCATTGCTCGTCTTTGTGCCTCTGCAAATTGCATCACATGATATAAATGGTGGCCCATGTTTTCACTCAATCTCTCTCGTGTAAATTCATTCCTTCCAGCCAATTGATTTATTACGCTAACGGCATAGTCGAGACAATCTACTACCGAGCCCTTTACTGGAGTCTGTGTTCCTTCCTCTATTATTTGGTCCCACAGGATTTCGTCTACTGGACCTGCTTCCAGAACTTCGCAAACAATGGACTGTTTCCACACATTTGAACGTTCATGACGAAATGTCCTTTCTTGTGGAGAGTAGCTCCATACGCAGCCTTTAGTATCGATGACGCCACAGTGCAATTCGTCCCCAATAGCGAAGTTGAGAAATCCCTTGCTCTGGTCGGAAGGTATGAAGGCGACACGCACAGGACAGGCTCCGGGCGTTAAGGGAGTGCGCGCGTCTCTTACTGGTGGGAGAACTTCACAGGGCAGTGATGCAAATTTCGCCGCTGAACCACAGAATCGGCAGTGAAAAGTCCTTGATCGCAGAGCATACTGCCATGTCCCATCGTTTTCGCAACAGTTGGTTCTGAATTGATAAAGCGGCTTCAGCATGGTATCTCAGTGTTACTATGCGTGAGTAATGCCGGCGTCTTGTATGTCATAGACGCACATGTGTGCCACGCTATGCACCAATCTATTGGATGGGTGCGTGCAGTACCTTTGCACCCAATGATTGGTACATCCTGCTGTCACTTATTCTGAGCCAAGTAACAACACCGTTTGTACGTTTTTGTTAAGGGCCTTATTTTGAGTAAAAATAGGCTAGTGGCACCACATTCGTTTTACTTTTGATTCCCAAGAGGTGTTAGATCATCAAATAAAGCGTCATCAGTGTCTTGCTTCTTAAAGCTTGGTAGTGGTCCCTTTCCCGTTAAATGTCTTCACTTTGGTTGGATGGTATGATGGCTGCGTCGTCCGAGGATCGCAATTTCGCGGATGAAGGTTGCAAAAATGAAACCTGCCATGGCAGTGAAGAAACCGATCACCATGAAATGGTAAAAAATGTTTCCGTTAGTTACGTTTGTGGTGGTGTCTTCAACTCGGAAGACGAACAGCTGCAAAGAGGAAATATTTTTAATTTAAATCAATGAAAAAAGCGAACATCGAAATGCTTGTGTGACTTTTGGGCCAGGTAATAGATTTTAAGCTTTCAAACTTTATCTGTCCTTCTTATTGCCTGCCTACTTGATTAAGTACCACAACTAATTGAATATTATTTGAAGTTCAAAACTCATTTCCTCTGTATAGCTTTTAAATTTAATGTAGTTGGATCAAAACTGGTCCGCATGACTAACTCGCTCCCACGGCATAACTCAGGGGATTCAATTCACCTTGTAGGCTGTTTTCTCACTGCCACGGATTTCATTAGAGGCACGACAAACGCCCACGTAGGCTAGACCCCCGAGATCACCGACCTCCTTCTTCACAAGCATCATGGAGCCAGTGTCGTTTTGCATTACCGTGGTGGGCCAATTCGGCTGTGATCGCTTTGGGTCACGCCAAAGTCCAATGCCGGAAAGACCCAATCGCATCACCTTGGATATGGTCCCCTCACGCAGAGGGTAAGCATCGAGGGTCACCAAAGGCGCGGGATTGCCGCTTGCCAAACACGTCACCCAGTCACCCGATTTTAGCACAAAGGCAACATCTTTCTCACTCACTTGGTCCGGTGGCGGTGGATTTATGATAACGTTAGTGGGGGGAAAGGACACACAGATTTTGGCAGCGGCACGTCTTATGAGTTGGCTTTGGAGTTTAACCCAATCGGTAGAGAAGTTGTACAAATTACTATTTATTTTTGGTGTAATCTCACAAGTCAATACGGCGTCGTTGTGAATATAAGATATATTTAGAAGGACTGGTGAAAAGTAAATTAGCTTTTTAGGAGGATTAGCACCTGTAATTATGGATGAAGCCATATGTAATGCTTTGGTTGTGGCATTATCAACAGTTGAGATATTTAGTGTGGCAAGAGTGGACAAAAGTCCAACCCCCAAAGGTTTATCATCCTCCACACAGAACACCTGATATGCCACGGCCTCACATTGAACAGACAAGAAGTCCCCAACGTGATAACAGGTTTCGGTGTGTAAAGGAGAGAGTCGTATCTTCGTATCTGTGGGATTACGAATAAGGCACACCGGCTGTGCTGATACTTGGCTCAGCACTAAGTCATTCGAGTCTTCAACTCTTTTTGTCGCACCAAACGCACAGCCGTAGTAACCAAAGTCATTAAAAGAACTTGGTTTTATATTGATTGTAAAGACTAATTCTCTTCCTTCTTGATGTTGGTAAGCAATGAAATTGGAGTGGTTCGTAGTCACCGTCCCGCTGACAAGGTTATGGTATGACAGCTGATGTGCAGAAGGATCACTTTCAGGCGAGATCGTGTTTACTTGACGGTAGAGACGGAACCATTGTAAACTTTTGGCAATTAAACCACTGTTTTCGGCCAGAAAACTCGGACACACCACATTAATTTGTTCTGGGATCAAAACTATCTGTGGTGAGATTCTGACGGTAGTAAACAAGGTAGAATTTTTGTCTGCTGAAACCATAAATTGAACATCCTTTTTAGAGGTCATATTTTTTCCACCACAGTTGTAAATTGCACGGCAAGTGTAGACGTAAAAGCCGGGTCCTGGCAGAGCTGATAGATTTAGCTCTGATGAAAGCACTTTTTGGTTAAACACTTCAGTCTCGTTGACCTCCTTCGGTCTCGGAAGAGGGCCAAGCTTGTAAACCCAGTAGATCGTGGAGTTCTCGAAGTCTGAGTCATCCATATAACAATTGAGAATCGCATTCCTTTCAAGGGGCTTGGTTACCTCTGGAAAAACCTTCAATCTCCTACTTAGTCTACATACGATAAGCGGCCCAAATTTCCTTTCCAAATTCCTCTCTTCTGATGTTTGCAATCGCCAGTAGCATCCAATATACTTCATCGCATCACGATATGGGTTCACATTCCAAGAATGTTCCAGAAGGAAATAATTGTAATACCCAAAAAGTTTTACCTGACTGATGAGTGAATTTTTCTTGGAGACATGAGTTGGTTGAGTCTTTTGGAGGGCAAACACAAGGATAGATGGCGTGACATTCGAAAAAGAAGATGATGGATGTCTGATGGACCATGTGAGGCACCTTGTCTTCAATTCGTCGCCTTCGAAGAGTATCAGCGGCTTGGAGAACCCATCTGCTAGCGTCCAAGCATTTGAAGCCAATTTATGAGCAAAGATGGGAGACTCCTGTTTTGGAATTACGATGAGTTCTGGCTGAACGTCTGTGTCTTTATAGCCTCCGAACAGGTAGATTCGACAAACGTAGCAGCCTACGTCCGAAGTCTGCTAATCAGATAAGCAGAGAACTTTGATAGTCACTTAAAAACTGAATGATTTCGAATTCCTCCTGGAGGTTGTGGTTCAATAACTTGGATTTGCAAATGATTTAGTCAAAACTCAAATCGTCGATGTCATCAGCTACACCAGCCAGGAGGATACCTAACATTCATTTCCATGAAAATCGCAACAAGTTTTCTTGTCCCCACATTGGAGCAGCTCACAATTGTAATCTTTCATAAGTTGAACCATAGGTTGGTACCAGACCCTTTTTCATGCATAAAAACGCTGCGCATTCTAAGAAGTCTTAAGTGATCACTTTTATTCTGTTACTATTTAGAAGGGCATTTAGTACCAACGGAGACTAAATATTCTATTGTAATGCAATTTGAGAAAAAATTAAAGGCTAAAACGTCTTCTGTCTTCTACTATACTGGACTTGGCCTCGTAATTATCTCGGTGTCTTCAAAGCTCTCAACTACTTTCTGCCTTTATTCTTTTATTACCTTTGCAATAACGAATGCTGTAATAGTATTAAGGTACAAAGGCTTAGTAAATGTGTTTTCCCCCCATATCAACGTAAATGGCAAGACTCACAGAGGCACGTGCAATTTGGATACGCACAGCTTTGTGGCCTTCGCTATCTTCAACAATCTTTACTTTGAATTCAGTCAGAATAGCACTGCTCCACCACCCAATGGGTTTGAATTGTCGAACCAAGTAGTTGATTTTGTTCCTCTCATCTTGCGTCTGGAAAGTCACATGAAGCAGGGGTAGTTCTATAGTCCCTACTGATAATGGAGCCTTTCCGAGTAAAAACAAGTTGAGTGTTTCTTCCAAATTTCCACTTTCCGAAATCGGACATTCGATAGCCCACGGTTCACTTATGTTAACGACTCCTAATCTTGGATACAGCGAACCTGAAACAGTCCATTGTCCATTTGATTTGCCGTGAGCATAACTGACATGTGCCTCCGTCAGCGCGACATCGCCCTCATGATTGGAGACTTCACACTCTAACTTGGCCACACCCCACGACCCTACTTGCCAGAAAGAAGGGGCTTGTCGAGACAATGCGAAGTAATAAGGTGACATTTCGTCCTTTGGAATAAATTTTTTTGGGAAGAATTCAGGTCTTGATTTGGCGAGAATGGAGGCACGAATGGATTTTATAGGAGATTTTGCAAAGGACATTCGATTTAACCCCACGCGGAAATTCCATGGATGTGCCTCCTTTATACGCCAGTCAAACATCGTCGGTGGTGGATAGGCAATAATGTCACATATCCACTCGTAGTAGCCAATGTCTATGTTCTTAACGGTTGGTTTAACTGGAAAAAGATTGTCGATTGGATCACTGAGGAGCCGATTTTCTTCATCCACCTCCCATGATGGTAAGGTTTCACAAAATACAAATGCATCAAACTGCTTGATGGTAATCAGGGGGATGGTGTACTCGATAACACGAGTGTAGACATTTTCTTTAGGAGCATAAGAAAGACTACATTTGGTAAAGGCAGCTTTTTGATGAGTTGTTAAAGAGGTTTTACTCGAGGTTCCACAACCTCCACTTTCCCAAGTGGTGAATCGGCAAGGTACTGTTGTGTTCATTTTGCCCTCTCCTGTTCCAGAACAGACGACAAAACTTTCACTCCAGTCAGCAAAGGCCATTTGAAGGGGATAACTTTGCTGCTCTCCTGTCACTGCCTCACAGAAAAATGACATGCGAGCACCTAGACGGGGAATGTCGGAATCGTCTGTGAAGGGCGCGGACACCACCCGTCTTATTGTGGGCCTCATCGGACATTTAGAGGTAAGGGAAATGCGAACTGAGTTGCTCGACTGCGGAGGTAGGGCAGTTATTCGTTTTGAAAGCAACTTAGGATGGCTTAAAATGCAGTGTATGTCTGAGTTTTCTGCCTCTGCGGGGAATACAGGCCAAATAAGGAGAGCCGAAACTTTGTGACCAATGTTACGATACCTGAACCCCTGTTGAGACGAATTGGTTCTAACTACCACTAAGTAGGAGCTACTGCTGTTCGACCAGTAAACAAGATCAATTTGGTAGTTAATTATTGTCATCTCAATGACACATTCAAATTCGCCAGAATCATTGGCCTTTTGAGGCAACTCTTTTACTAGAAGATATGGTGCGTTCAAACCCCGTCGGTTGAGCCTGATTTCGATTGCTACAGAGCTCGACTGAGACTGAAAGTGGTAAAACAAATGTTGATGGCTGTGAAGACGATGCAATGCAAGAGGAGTTAAAAATGGGAAGATTTTGATGCATACTCCTTTGCATAAAAGATAACTAATGTTGTGGATACCAAAAAATAAGTAAATGAACAGCTGACATCTTATGTGTTGTAAAACTGATTCAAAACTCATTGAAAGCCATTAGAGTCGACACGCCAAATTAGCATCATTATAACCTGTCAAGTAACGTATAGATCGATCAATAACGTTCCAAACACGTAAGAAAATCCTTTTAAGCGAACTGTTCCTTAATTTAACGCTAAGTGAATATGAGACTTACCAAAACTGTGTTAACGCCCCGTTCATAGGCAAGGATGACATCACCATCATGAGACGACTCCAGTTTTAGGCTCTGTGATACACTGAGACACATGGATTCAGGTCTACTGGATTCTGAATCTCCCAGTACACTTTTGCACTTGCTATCAAAGTACCTCTGATTTTTAAAATTGTTTGTTATGTTGGCCACTGCAGTTTGATTTGTAAAACACACTCTCAACTGCCGATGTTCCTTAGTGAAAGAGCTTACCCGAATAACCGCGAAGAAGATGACACTTTCACCATCAAACATAAGATCTCGCGGATGTGACAAGAAACAAAATCCCGCAAGACTTTCGGTGTATACATCTGCTGGTCGTGAAAGGTTGCAAATTGCATCAAAGAGAGGGATGCGCTCAATAAAGGTAGCAAGATCCCTAGCGGAATGGTCCAAACACTTTTTGCCAAAAACATCACCACTAGTAAGCTGAACCGTACGGTCGGGACTGCCTTCAGCCCAGCTAGATGGATTTTCAAAGTAAGCACTAATGACATGAACATGTTTCCTTTTCATGAGCTGCATAAATCCAGCCACATCACCTTCATCCCACCGATCTCGAGGAAGTACAACAACATGCGGACGGCTGACACGTAAAACATTCTCTCTTGTATTAGCCACATTCCTATCAACAGAAAGGAAACCTTCAGTGAGGTTGACGGGAATTTTTCGGGGACATGAGGCATTGTTTGGATGGTAGATTGATTGAGGCCTGATAGATTTTGAAATAAGCCCTTTAGCAAGTTGAATGCGCGATAATCCATGAGTTAATGGCTTTGAACCAGCATACAACGAAGCCTTTTTCAAGACCGTGTCTAGTATAGAGGTTGGGTTCATGCTTATTTGCGTATACTTACTCCCATGGGCAAGTCCGAGAATGATCTGCTGCAATAAATGGACGTATCGTTGACCATAGAAATCCAGCCTGCTTTCAGGATTTTGAGGATCAAGCAGTGTATGTCCGGCAACCATTTGGGGTGAATATATGAGAGATAAGTCGAGTGATACGAAACGGTATTCACAAAGGCAAATAGTTAAAAAAAGGAGGCGGTCAATGTGATACTTCTTCCCTACTATCTCATTGAAAGCTCTGCACTGAAAAAGGAAGCTCATTCCTCTATATCTGGAGTCAGTGGGAACTTCTAGCCGGTCACCCTGAAATGCAGATTTCGGAAATGTGTCCGGGCCATCGAGAAAGACGTTTTGATCATCAGCGAGATAAAAGTAGTTGGTAGAACTCGGAGACAGTAATCGGCTGGAATCAACTTTTGTCCACTGATAGATGGGCGGAGGAAAGCCCTTAGATCCTGTACAACGAATGCTAGTGCCCAACGGAACAGGATGCTCCTCCAATTGATGAACACTGCTATGAAAGGAGAGGTTCCCTTCCACACCATGAAAAATGAAAATATCTCGAGCACTTGAGGCAATGTTACCTAACTCGAAATTTTCTTTTAGATCGTTTTCATCCTTTATCCACTCTGGAATATTTTTCTTTGCCGTCTCAGATGTTACTGAACAGGTGGCTTTCAGCTTTCCTCCATACTCTGCTCTACCATATCCGCTGATTCGATAAAATTTGAACTTTTGTACTCGCTGCACGCCTTCTCGTAAATTTAAAGTTCTCACAAGTTTAAAAGGGAAATTCCATCTCGGTTTTGGGACTTCGCGAGTAAGAGTGAGAGTCAATGAAAAATTAAGATCTGCTTTAGTATTGGTCCAACAAACAATGTAGCTCACCTGATTGGTCATGAGGTAGGGATCTAAGGTTTTGGTATACTGATTGTAAACATCTCCCACTTTTATTGCTTTGGATGGCACTAATCTATTATAGACAAAGATTTGAACGTTCATTGAATCAGGAATAACTGTAAGTCGTCTGTCTGTACAAACATGCAAGCTAACTCCACGGATCTTTACTGTGCATGCATAGATTCCACTATCCGTCATTTCTGCCTTATTTTTTCTTAAGTTAAAGAAATACTGTCCACTTTTTGCTTCAATCCAAAATCCAACTGGCAATGGCTCTGCAATTGTTGAATTGAGCGATTTTGTTCTCGTGCATTCAATTCCGTCAGGCGAAAGTGATACATCCATTGGGCAAAATATGCGAATTTTTTGACCAATATGGACAACTGCTGGCCACCCTATCTTCAAGGGAGTTACTCGATAATCTGTTCCGAATTCCCCGGGAAGTGATCCAGAGTTGGTAGGAAATACGTTAAGTAGCCAGGACGCAAATCGCTTCATTATCCAAGCTTTGAGATGCTCTTCGGCTTGATCAGTAGTATGCGATGAATTTAACGTATTAAAAACCATTATTGCCAACCCGACATCTTCTATGCTTGTTAAACAACTAAATTTGATCACAGTTAAGTTACAACGAGAGGCACAAGGGACAAAATTAGGATAACTTCTGTGTCTGGGATGCCGTACTAGATAAACTCCAGCATTGCCCCTTGGAATACCTGGATTAAATTCTATGGACCCTTTTATTTCCGTGCCCTCAACTTGGCGTTCCAGGTTAGCGTATACTTGAGCAAGCTTCGATCCTTCAAGAATCGTTGCTAAAGAATTTTGAAGTGCTTTTGCAATTTGAGGGACGTTGCATGTTAATGTTGACTCCAGAAGAAGGGGTGGAGTTGCCAATGAAAGCGTGCTTATTTTTTTAAAAACCTTGTCACTGCCATAGAACTTTACAGTCAGGGCGTAATCCCCAGCCATGTCTTTAGTCACATGGAAAGCGTATAAAGAAAAGATGCTTCCGTCGACCTGTAAACCAAATGAATTTTCCGATCCACAATCTTGGTACTTGCAGCCCGACGAACAGGTGAAGAAGTATTCTGTTGTTGGCAAACTGTCCGGACCCTTGTACTGACAGTCTACGATAGTGTTTTGGCGATATTCCCATTTGATAGACCTGACTCTGACCCCCACATGTGGAACAAACCACGCAGACCAGTCCCTCCCGATAAGTGCCCTCTCCTCTGCCTCATAATACTGTACATTTGCATCTGCCCGAGATGGTTGCAGCAAGGTCAGGAAAAAGACTGCTGCCACAACCATAAACAGCATGATTCTACTTAAAAATCAATAAGACAACTGACGAGATTTTGAAAAAAAAACGATCCAAGTGCACCCGGGGCGTCACACTTTCTAATGGGTATAAATGCTATTCCGGCAATTCACTTATACAGACTACAAACGTTATTCGTCTCCTATAAGACGTCAGCACAAACTAAGGGATGCACCCATTTGTCTACGACGTCATCTTGCGAGCCACCAAAAGAGCAGCAATTGACGCGGTCAACACGCATCAAAAGGCGGATAAACCCGCGCATCCACCTGTTTTCAACAGATTTAGGCAACATCAACGAAAAAATTACAGCCTGGAAGTTTGCTCGCTCAAACAAATAGCTATAAACACCAGTGATGGAATAACACAGTACAGACAATTTAAAACGATCCGCTTGTCGTTGTGAATGTACTATTCTGTAACACGTAGAATGCGCACTCACAGACCCACTACAATATATATTAGATCATCCTAGAAAACAAATCAGAAATCTCTGAAAATAACTATGTTTATACATACACATGGAGAAATATGGTCAAATGAGTCCGTGGCAATGAGCGAAAGAATGCCATAGCAAAAGAGTACAGCAGGTACACCCACACACCACCGACTTCGAGAAGAGTAACAACTACAATGATAGGTGGATAAAGAGATAGAAATAAAAGTTAGGCATTTCTGCGTTGACCGCGGCCACGAGATCGGTGTATCCCACTACGATTTTCGGCTCCTCTAGCAAAATAGACTCCAGCGCCAGCACCACGGTGGCCGACAGTACCACCTCGAAACGGTGCCGAGACCACATGTTGAGATCTTCGGTACTGTTGCTGATGATTGGACGTGCGGGCACGATTCGACGGAGCAGATAAGTTCGCAGCAGCACGATTGACACCGGTACCGTTTGCAGGAAGACGTCCGCCTCCGGGAAGGCGAGGAATAAATATGAACTTCACAAGTATGATCACAACAACCCAGCCAACACACTAGGCTTTGCGTTTTACAGAATTTAAAATAGGTATGGAAAATATCGAAACGAGTATTGCCAATCCCTTGACACAATGCATGAGGATGGTTAACGAAGTGACAGACACTGAGCAAGTCTCACCAGTAAAGCAGAAAACAAATGGGAAAATAAGACTAAATAATTGACATTTGAGTATTAGAAACATAACACATGCACATCCAGGATGTTACCCTCCTACCAACACCACAGAACCCATTTATTCAGTACAAATGGGACCGAATTCATAGCGAAAGAATAAAGGCAATTCTACCATTGGACAACTATAATTTCCTTACGATTCTGACACGATGCCAACCTTTAAAGTCTCCTCCAACTCACCGTACGTCGTTCATCTTCTGGTTTTTTCACATACATATACTTTATAGTGCCTTTGAGGTTATTCAGAACGCAACAAAAGCCTAATTATTTTTAAGATAGTAAACAGCACTCAAAAGTACCGGACCATACAATCTGATGAGTTTATTGCTTGTGCTGATGTTGTGCATCATGAATTTCTGTAGATTAATCGCCAGTGAATACCTTGAAGTCTTTCACATAAATCCAATCATTAAAACTAGCTAATGCTGTTAACACATTTGTCCAGAACTTTAAAGGACACAATTTATTTTAAATGACTAATCCTTCTACACGATGAACAACAACTAACCAACAACAGTAAAGAAATTGAAATTCCTGCGAGCCAAGTATTGAAGGTAACGCACTCATCACTATAGAACGTAAAACACCCAATCGCTTCCTTTATCCAAAGTGAATGGCTCAGACTTACGAGGGCGACGACTGAGTACCGCATTGGAAGGAGTTAAGACACCATTGATTTCAGCAGAATGCAAAGCAGGTGTTAAATTCGCTTGTGACGTCTGAACACCGTTGGAAGGCCTATCCTTACGCTCGCTCTTTTTAATCACTTTAAGCTGATTATTAGGATTCAGTTTCTCTTCAGAGAAGAGGTAGCTAAAATGAGCATTTGAGAGAAATATACTATTGAGATGGAATTCCTACACATGCTTGTCAACAGTGATTGCATGACAAACTACTTGACGATGGACGTTTTGTTTTAGTGATTAACACATTCTCATGAAATTCCGCCAAAACCCTTATGCCCATTATCTATATCATCAAATTTTTTCCTGTCTACTTTCTCTTATCCACAGTTGTGCATCATAAGCATGGCAAACTTACAACTTCCATTGATTGGGTGTCAATTGGTCTCTGACGAACGTAGTGTGGTGTAAAAGAGTGTTGTAAAGTGAATTCAAAACATGGCTAAGTACTAAAAAATGAAGAACGAGGATAAGTACTAGAAGATTGTTGCCTGAAGTAAAATTATCGCAAAGCACTCACCTTTCCGACCAACATAGTTTGTCAAATTATGATGCAGATTAAAGGGGTCTGAAGGAGAAAAAAAATAGCTAAACTACATCGGACATTTAGAGACACTACAAGTGTTGACTGCACGCTTGATGTTGGAATTGAAGAGAAAAAGTGGAATAAAAGGCCCATATAATTGGAAGAGTATGGTCAGCCAATTAAATACGTAATAATGGGTCAGGAAGAACAATGCATTAAGCAAGATACCAGCCAGAGCAGTTACAAATGAGTCAGGCCTACCCTCGACAGCAAGGAGAGACTCCCATAATTTCCCCAGGCGATCCAACCGACTTTTTTGTTTAATAGTGACGACATAACGCTCCCTATCAAACTCAAACAAGTAGTACCGAAGAAAGCCAAACCACAGGTCGGCTACGGAGACATCCTCTTCAGGCGGCTTCCAGAGTTTATGCTGAAATGGGTAACAGTGATGTGTAGCATCAACGTCCCAGATGCAAGATATCACTAAAGGGATTGTACAGATGACATTATTGGGATGAATGGCATGAATGCGTGGATGAATGAAGAAGTTATTTGTGCTACCAATGAACGCATGGAAAGGAGAATGAAACAGAGAATGAGTGTGCAACAATTAAGCAAAAAAGAGTCGCTTTAACCAATACTTGGTGTGAGAATAAAGATTGGCCTTCAAAAAATTGGGCAATCGTAATGAAGAACACCTTGATGAATATAGTGTTTTCTGTACCATAATAATGTTGTCATTGTCATTGTCAATTGCTGTTATTGAATAGAACAAGGCTCAATGCCGCAAGCCAATATGGGAGGATATCTGACGAGTGAGCTAGACTCCGCATTCCGCCATACATTCCAACCGTTTAAGAGCATAAATTCGATTATGGTGTAACTCATAAAGTGTAATGCTTACAACCATTTCCATATCACTTTGGTACCATACGTTCCATCTGCCGACACTGATTACGGGTTTTTCGTTACCTTCGTAGAGCTAAAACAAAAGGAGGAAGGCCAGTAGAAATTGAGCAACCGAAAGATGCGGTCGAAAACCTATTGAAAGCATCTAAAACAGTCTATGGTTTCCAAAAATCAAAACGATGCATTTTTTAAACGAATTGTTTGAAGAGGAAGGATGAAAACGAGCCCAGGAGTATTCTAGAGTAGGAGTACAGCATCATCCCTCGAAAAATTGCAGCAATTATAAACAAGACAAAGCTTCATTTCAAACATCTAAAACCAATGGATAAAAGTGTTTGCACATAGCATTACGTGGTATGCTGTTTGGGTCACAGTACTCAGTGAATATAAGAACGCATACATGAACGAAGAGGGGAACTTGCCTCTTGCAAAACGGGCAAAAAATCCTTTTGTTGGAGGTAATGGATGAGCATAATAGCAAAGGCATACGAGGAAATTCCTCCAGCATCAGACTTCGGAACTTTGCAAGCCTGCAAAGGAATGCCACTAAACCGATAAAGAGAAGAGGGAAAAAACAAGGAAATGACCCAAAGTAAACCGACCTTAAGAACGATTTTTAATGCAATATTCAACACTCGAAGACGTGAATCGATACGATTGTAGAAATTAAGCATTTCCGTGTTGTTGATCGCCTGTTGAAAAGGTAAAATAGACGTTCAACGCCTTAAAGTACTAGAAGTTATCGAAGCCATGGGTTTGAGTTCAAGACTCATTCAAACCCACCAGGAAGTTAGAAAAGCTCAGATCAACTTCAAAACAATCTGAGATGGTAAATTTGATGATAGGGACTTTGGCGAAGTAAACGGGTCGGATGTTTGAGATCCCTAAGTTCCGTGAACCTTTACCCAGCAATCGCCTGAAGGTCTTGAGCAGCTGGAAAAAATGAAGACCAAGCGAAAGTTGGGTTTGATAAATAAGATGAGAATTCTAACATTTGAACGTATCTTTAAGGGAGGCAAAAAGAAAAATAACCATACAAAAAACACCGTGAGCACCCACCTTCAGCCGTTCTGCATCATCTAACAATGAAGAGGCTTGAGGACTGTCTGGAGGGAAAACAATGCAAATGTCCATATCGCTAGTTGATGTCTCAAACCCGTTGGCACAAGAACCAAACAACTTCAATGAGACGTCGGGATACACGGCACGAAACAGTTTATTCAAATTAGTAACGACCACCTACCATGGGAAATGACAGTTTCAAAAGTGAATTTAACGAGGAACCAATGTATGTACAATTTACGTTCACTACTCAATGCTATGAATGTTACACAGGCAGATGATACTGAGAAAAAGGTGCCCATCTGAGACAAGAGGAATACTCACTTGACGGAAACTCATTATTTCTTGGGAAGAGTGGAATCGAGATAGCTGAATGAGGCAATCGGAGAGATCATGGAGATGCGTTTGATTTGATATTCGAGGTACTTTACTCTCCAACTTTTTCCAGAGAGACATACTTACTGAGTCATGAGGCTCGGCCGCACAGGAGCTGTTACAGTGCCCTGAGGCGCCACATAGAGTGCAAACTGGGGGAGGCCTACATGGGTGTGCAATCATAGAAGAAGGTTGGTCAGAAGCATCGGAACCAAGTATAGGGGAGTATGAAGCCGCGCCGTAAGATGGGCGAACGGTGAATGAAAATGACAAGTCCTCCGACTTCAAGAGGTTCAACTCAGTAGAACTATAATAACCCGGTTTATTCGAATCTTGAAACTAAAAATAGAGGAATCCATTCGACAGATTCTGAGCTGAGTTCAGATCCAGTAGGAAAGAAAGGTGCTCGTAGAACATACTATGACAATATCGGTATCCATTTTTATATACTTGCTCCAGGGATCACCCGAGGCACCATTTAGTCCATCGCCTCCGATGCAATCTCGACGAGCATTCATCATTTTTTCCGCCAATTCTACCTCCTCAATGTTGCAAACATCATTTAGAACATTGCCAATTGGTTCGACATTCTATTAGAGGAATGACATTAGCATGTTAAATTGAAGAACCAACGTGCTGAAGCATTAACAAGATATCATTATTCAAAAACTGATTAGCCGAAGTATGATTCAATACATATCAATGAAGGCACTAATGTGTGAATGCCAAATGATGTCCAGCTTTCCAACCCCCAATGACTTACTCTAGTACTTAACTCTGGATCGTCAGAAATGTAGGTCGACTTATCCCCTTGCCCAACATCCGCCTCCTGGAATCCTCTACTCACGTCTCCTTCGCCATCTTCTGAGCAAGAAGGTTCCCTTTTACTCATTACAGGGGACAATTTATCGGGGCTCTGTGAGATATCTAGTCCCATACCTTCACCTTCGGTGTTACAATTTGGTGCTGGAGGAGACTTCCGTAGTACGTAGAACATACCACGAACAGTCTGAAGTCAAACAGAAAATTCAAAAAGCAAAGTACTTAATGAAAGCTTAGTTTATGCACAAAATCCTTTTTTTTTGCAGACTTTCAGACGAAATTCTGCTTGGTGCTAATAAAAAGATCGGATGCACTTCTCAGCAATGATAAAAGATCCCATTGTTTGACGGTATTAACAAGTGATATACGACTCCATTAGTCAGACACTAGAGTTGAAATGAAGTAATGCAAAGCCAAAAATGAGCATTCACACGTAACCTTACCATAGTTAGAATCCGTTCACCTATACGAGCTAGTTGGCCTTCCATTGCATGGTTAGAACCATTTTGATATTTACACTGAACATGCTGCCACAGATTTCTGCAATAGGCACGAAAAAATTCTATTGCCTGTGATGAGGTTAACCTGATGCCAAAACCACCGCCGCGTAAATAACGACTCGCCCTCTTGTGACAGGAACGCTGGATACCTAGATAAAAAGCAGTACTGTACAAAAGAGATTAATGATAATAGATCTGAGGGTTCAAACAAAAGGTACGATCAATACGTGGAGATTCTACTTCTGGCAGTTTAGCATTCAGGTGATGTAACCGCAGTGGTGACAATAGTTAAATATCAAGACCGTTCAATAATTCCCAAGCTGAGTTACAACCTCAAGAAACTTGCAAGCGTGATGACAAATCTCTTTAAGCTAGATATGAGAAACATAGCGGCAAAAACTAATGAAAGCCAAAGGACGGTGAATACAAAAGCAATGCAAGAGTTACGTACTTGCGACAGAATCAGCTGGGCAGATCTCACCGTATGCTAACCGAAGCGTCTCCATGAGAACGTCTCCAAGACCAAGAGTTTTGTCCTCAACAGTGGCTTCAGTACTTGCGGAAATAGTTACCTCCGACGACGCTTGGGAGACCAATGCATTGTCAACATAGGCCGTAAATAGAGAAGTGACCTGGGCGAAACGCAAATTGCTGAACTTATAAAGTGAAACCGATCGTTAAAAGCAGGTTCTTAATTTAAATGTGTTGCCAAGTGGGAAAAAAAAGTTGCGTAGAGCCAATCACCGACATGAATCTACATTGGTAGAGGTGCATTATTTAGAAAACCGAATGCTGATTGAAGAAGTAGAACGCCCCTAACTACATCTGCAAAAAAAATGTGCGATCAAATTTAATACTTACCTTATTCAGATGATGCCCCAGATCAGTAGAAGAGATAAAATTCAGCGAAATCGATTTTGGAGATTTTATAGCTTGTTCTCTAGGAGGCTGGATCGTATGCACTAGCACGTTGACGAATACCGGACGACCGGTTTTGGCGAGACGAGGAATGGCAAAATAGCAGTAAGCCGCTAATAATTGGTCTCGAATGAATTTCTCCACAGGACGTGAGAGGTTTTTTGTCAGCGGCGTACTAGGGGAAAATGGGTCTGAAAACATGTCTCCAATTAATTCGTAGTTTGGATAGTGATACAAATATTGTGCAAAAACTACTTACGTTCCACCCATAGCCCCAATAAATTACACTTTCGAGACGATCTAGGAATCGGCCCAGAATGGGTTATCGAGACGATGCAGGATTGGGATTGAAATTCGAATACATAAAACCGCAAGAACTTCAACCACATGTCCGCAACCGTCATAGAATCTATAATAAAAGCATGAAACAAATTTGAAATCAACTTTACTGATTCCAAACGGATGCAGTAGATACAATAGATTCACCACCAGTACTTTCGAAAACACAGCAAAGGGGAAATCCTTACTTCGGCCCAAAGAAAAGAACTGAGGTAGCACAGATAGATCCTTCAGGTAGGAAGAATCCCCTCCTTCCGTCTTAACCTTGAAAGCAAAACAGGCTCTTAATAGACGCATATAAATGCATATGTACACATATATTTCCACCCTTCAACTAATTACCGTCTCAATGGAGGCGACGGAAAGAGTGTCACGATGCTGACAGGAGATTTCGTGCAAATTTGGCAGAACAGGAGGATGTGTTCGTTGAAGAAAGAATATGACCAAAACATAAAGCGCTGGTTTGGGGAGATCTTCTATAGAGGCCAGCTGAAAAGACCAACGTTGAGCCATTAATCAGACACAAAGCAAAAACGGTGCAGTTATTGCTTTAGCTACCTGGATAAACTTCAACAACAAGGTCATCAGATGTTTGGCCCGGTCATCAATTGACAAGTAAGTCCTAATTAAAGCCGCGAAATCCTGGCCATGAGGATTACCCACAGTGATGCAGAAGCAAGTATGCTCCAAATCTTCGATGACTATGGAAAAGCCCTTGGAAACTGAGGTTTTGCGAATGCTACAGAAAGAGATGCATCACGAAAACTAAACTACCAAATGAATAGGAATTAAAGCAGAGCAGAGCGATAAAATGGACCCATTCGATGACAGCATGTGAAGTTAAAATGAAAAGATGGATAATAAGAGACGGATTATATCGAAATATCATGATCTTCATGTAGGCAAAATAACTACACTATTCCATTAGAACGGCCCCCATCTGTAATGCATTTAAAAAGACAAATAAAACATACTCCAGAAATTTTGGTAAGTCCTCGTCTAAGCGCTTCTCTTCCATATGAGCAGTACAAAGAACATCAAAGATTTCAGGAAGTGCAGAGAAGAAACCCCTATCGTAGGGATCCACAACAGAAGACACCTCAAGTTCTCTTCGTTGAGAAGTCTTACAAGCGGTTCCAATCGAGTCTGAGTAAGCGTCCAAATTGACGTCGCTTTGTTTTAAAGAGAAGCCGGTCAGTATACTCCCTACTATACGCATTGTTAGGCCTGTTTGAAAATGAACAAGACGAATGTTAAACGAACGTATAAGTCCGAATGTAATATCGGTCTAAACAAGCCTTGGATGTAAGCATAGACTCGTATCTAATCATATCAGAACCTATTTGATATTACCTGGAATGCGGGATTCGAGACCTACACATATTGACCGAGCGAAGTTGAGACGGCGTTCAACTTCCAAGCTATCGATGAAATCCAAAGTTACACTGTGCAAAGAGGAATTAAGGGCTGTGCGATGCGCTTCTGTCATAGGAGGAGGATATTTCATCAAATTACGAATTTTCTTCAACTAAATGGAAAGAGCCAATGAGTCCCGGTATCATTTAAACTGACAACATTAGAGCCAAGGAAAAACGGTATAGTCAGACTAAAGGAAAATATAACAAGACATCCATTTATCAAGACAGACAAATCATGGTGACACATCAACTTACAACTCATGATTATACGTAATCTAAAAACAGGAAAGCCAAAATGCAATCAAGGCTACAACCAATATAGAAACGCCTGGAAACTCGCCTCTTTGGCTTCTAAATGCATCGTCGACTCAACATGCTTTAAAACATCCGAAATCGGACCAATACGGAAATCGCAAAGGCTACAAAGGGCAAGGGGATTCTGAAGATACATGTTAAACAATCGAAATGCTCACTTACTTACCTTTTGTTTCGAATTAACACAGATATCATTTTCTTTTAAAATGGATTTAATATCGGGAGACAGCTCTAAGGAAATCAAAGATAAATGCCAACGTACGACAGTCAGAATTTGGTGGGGTCGGTTTCTTAGATTTTTTTCGATCTAACCTCGTTTCATTCATACCGAGCTGATACGTGGAAGAAAGTGAGAACCAGAATAGCTGAAACGGTTCGATTTTAGACTAGAACTATTAAAAAACACCAAATGATGCAAAACGAAGTAAAGAATGCAATATTAAATGTAATTATGGTGGAAATAATTTAAGTTATGACGACTGAACAATGACAGACCTTTAACCACCCCCGGTGTTTTCAAAAAGTGGTAAACTCCAGAGTGACGAATAAAACAAACTACAGCAGCACACTTAACCCATACAAAGGAAGTTTAATAGAGATTTTATTTGTAAAGCACTAAACTTAAATATGTAATTTTTTAAAAAAGACAATATAATTATAACTTACTCAAAGCGGAAAGTTGTAGCCATTTGTAGTTACTCCGCGGTGATCGGTGTTCAAGCATGCTGGCCCGAGGCATTACTAGTAAGGAGAATTTTGAGCCAATCATTAGTATAACTGATTGTGGCTGTAACGCTTTGTTTATGTGACTATTTGACGTTTAGCGATCAGTTAAGCGTTTTGGAAGTGATGACTATTTACGCGAGCAGGTTAGGAAATTGCATGCAAAGTGACGAATGCAAACACCTTAAAACGGTCGTCATTTTCCACCACAGCTTTTTTTTTGCTTGATTTTCCACAATGCTTTTTATGAATTTTTTCTGCTTTTTTGGTGACTTGTGTATTTGCTAATTAGCCAACTTCTACGCAGGATCCTTCTTAGTACCTCTCATTTTGTGAAACTGAATATCGAACCTGCTTGTTTGTTGATAAATGAACAATTCTTATTCACGTCAGATGTTTATTCCCCCAACTAAGGCGCGTTATACACTTCAAGGTATTGCGCGCTGTGCAAATGCTGTGTTTGCCTATGAAGGTTGTCATTTTCACCCTCTACTATCGTTTTTCGTAACTATGGAGTCAATTGAAGGTAAGTTATAGTACTGGCTTATGTTTTTTTAGCATCTGGTCCTAAATCGGATAGCCTGCATGGTAGCTATACGGTACGCTTATTCTTACGATTAGTATTAAAGTGACGTGAGTAAGCTTGCCATATCTTCTCTCCAGAATCTTCTTAGGAACACGATATTTGTTGGTAGTGTCTAACGATAATTGTATTTTAGAATTTCACCGAAATTGGCCTATTAAAACCTTGCCCTTTATTTCAAGATCGCTAGATCTGCATGCAATTCCTTGTATTGATACGACTCATAATTTTGTGCTCATTTTGAATTTAGGTAAAACCTGGTGATTCCTTGATGAGCCTTGCGGCTCGAGTCGGTAACGTAACTCCTGCCCAGTTGGCGCGATTCAATCGGCTTGGGATGCTTGGTGCCGGTCATCCTCCACTTTTCCCTGGTCAAAGACTGTATATCCCAAACAAGGAAGAAATTTCCGCACAGGTTATTATTTTTCCTTTACATAGCTCTATGTGGATGTCCTTGTGCTACTTTTCTGAACTTTCTTGTTCATACCTCAACATAGCCTGCCCTTTTAGAGCTAGCACTGCGGTTTCATAGTCTTATTCTGAGGTATATCTTTTGGCCACCATGCGGGGCGTTCGGTGTGTTGTTTTTCCGCAATTATGTGCTGTGTGTAAATTGTTTCGAATCTCTGCATGCTGTGTTCATTTGATTTCGCGTCAGCTGGTTGGCGTTTCCTGAACAAATGTTAACCTTAGTTACAATTCTTATTGATAATTTTATCAAGACAATTCTTGGTCGGCGTCTCTCATAAATATTGACCCCGTGTTTTTTAGGTTAAATTCGAATGCATCGATATGCACTTAACTACTGCATGAGTTACTTTGGATTCTCCTCGAACTAGCAAAGCTATCGAAAACACAAAAATATCGTTTCCCTGATTACTTTCTTCGCCTATGGTCAATTATCTTAAACACAGAAGCTTGACCGCATAGCACAATGTGGTCTGAGGGGCCGTTTAACGGTTTACTTTTTCCTATGCTGTAGAATGTTCGCCTGCGCCATCTACCAGGCGCTGCGACGCGGGTCCACAGCCTATCTGAAAGTATCTCGGATCGCGGTGGTACCAAGGACAACGCGCAACAGAGTTTTGACATCTGTTCCGTCCCCTCCACAAAGGATGGTGTTATGGAGCGCCTCTTTGTCAAGGTCAAGGCCAAACGCGTGCTCCTACCATCAGAGGTATGTCTGGATCTCTGTTCTTTCCACATACGATGCTACGGCTCTGTTTGCACTCGAATGCAGTGGAAACGCATGCATGTTCATTTTCTACCTGTACCACAAAAGGTACTAGTCAGATCAATTTATGTGCTGCTTTTTAAAGCGAAATTGTCGCTGTGCCATGCCTAGGGCTGAGCCAAAAATTGTAAGACTTTGTAAGTCTGGTAACTTTGAAAGACACTGAAAGTATCGCAAGCAAATTTCCCTCCAAGATGAACAAATCTTATTTTTATAAGTTATTGTGTTTTTATAATACCTTTTCAGTATTGTGCTAAATTTGATTTCACGGAATGCAACGTTGAACTTCTTCACTCTCTTCCGCGTCATTTTTGATATACCTTGTAAACGAGATACGAGAGCTTTGGAAGGCTTTATTTAAAAAATGAAAGCTTAAGCTTCACGATCTAGGGCTCGTCAGCCCCTCCAGAACCTCGTTTTGGTTGTTTTCCTTCCTCTAGTCTAAAGAGTAAATTTAAACAATTGATACACATTACTTGGACATTAATGACGGCTTAAAGGTTATTATCTAGAAAAATATTTTCCAGAAATACCCGTTTATCGATCCATTTCGATTTCAATATGACCAAACTTCCTTTTCTTTTCCTATCTCTCGGGCCTTCTTAATGTTATTACTTTTCATCAACTACCCTGCTCGCTATCCTTCATAGCTGGGATGCTTTTGGAGCTCATGCTGCGTATTTTTGGCCTCGTGCAAAGAGGCCAATGAAGGAGACATTGCAAAGCTCCAAAGTGGCTTTCGCCTTGTCTACAGCGTAGTTGATAGTGGTCTGCTTACACATTTGAAATCGAAGTTAGCGTGAGCATACAATCGGTGGGAAATCCATTAATTTGGAGTTCTTCTGAACTTGAGCATGGTATAAACGTGGTTCAAGGCTTAAGTTCATTTATTTGATCTTCTAATTGCTTCTGTCAAGAGCGAAATAGATGGTGTGCTGATCTTTACTCCGGACGCTGTCTGCTTTGACGCGGTGGCCACAGCATCGGCGTTGAATCGAACGATAGCTGCCAAGACCTATAGTCTTCAACATCCCCTCTCTGTCACTTCTTACGACAGTGATGGTGGTGGCGAAGTCGTTTCTCCCCTAGCCCACTCACCTCCTTCCGAACATGCGTTGAAAGGGATAGAACCCGTCCATGACGTCCTCGCCCTCTCTGTCTGCATCCCCATCGCAGCTGTTGTCTCGCTTAACACTCATGGTGACATGAACAATCTCCTCTCTGGCTGGTGAGTGTAGCTATCCTGCCCTTCCATAGGTAACATTATTGGTCCAAGCATCTGCTATACAACCTTTACTTTTTCCAGTTATCATTACTCCTTAGCTCTCTTAAAGCTATACAAAAAATATCTAATTAATTTTTTGGTGCCATGGTCCTGGTGCTCTACCTTCGGTTCAAGACAGTGCTTCTACGAAGTGAGTCTTAACTCGGGTTTATTTTTAGTTTAAACCAGCCTTTAAAGTATGCATGAGAAATTTTTATCGTTTTGGACAACACCAGCCTCGAAATCGACTAAACTTTTATGTTCCGTTTTGTTCCTCTCCGTGGGACTTGCCGAAAACGAGCGCCGTAAAATGTAGCATGAGTGGATAACTATATGCATTTGCTTGCTAGGAGGAGCAAATCGAGTTTGTTTTCATAAATAGCTTTCATAGAATTGCTTTTAAATATTTGTCAATACGAGTAAAATATCATCGAGCATGTATTCGTTTTTTTATTGGTCACTGGTTAGCTTGACAGACTTGGTGGGTATTTCGGTCCTCGCCATCTGATGCACGTGATCGGAATGTGGTGTGCTAGTAGACTAACATGGTGTCTGTGCACGCCTTATTTGATCACTTTGGAGAAAGCGTTTCTAGATGCTTTGTGTTGTAAAGGCTACAGTAAGGTGTCACGCTGCCTTTCTATTGTGAAGTAAGTCATCGTTATTCCTCAAACCACCTTTCGCATTTCATGGAACTCAGCGTCAATACAGACGTTTGAAATGATGCAGCAGGATATTTTAGGCTGGATAAAGTCTAACAGTCGATTTAGGGAAGCATTTAAAAACCGTTTTGCCATTCTTTCCATACCCTGCATTAAACGATTTGAGATAAAATGAAAATCTTGTTGTCCACATCTCTAGTTTGATAGACTAGGTATTGTGTGCCTCATGAAGGGTTGATTTGTCGCTCTTTCGACTCTGTTGCTATCATAGTTAATTTTTTAAATCGAGGCATGAGTTTTTTCGAGCTATTTCCAGAATTCAACTTCGTGTAGCCTTAACTTATTTTAGGCAAGAAATGAGGAATTTTTAAAATTTGAGAACGTCATTATGAGCATTTTAAGATTGCATCCCTCGAAACAAAATTGTTCTGCGTTTTGAGATAAGGGCTATGGTTTTAAAACTGGTCGCATCGGAGAATTGGAAGTTTGATCCATTCCATCTGGTTGTGACAACTATTTCCTCAGGGTCGGTTCGCAAAGCATGTTTTCCCTTGTTGGCTTTTTTGTAGTTAGTAGTAGACAACCAGGTAGAAATACTAATCCTTTGAAATCCTTCATGCACTAGAGACTAGCTATTGAAGATTTGTATATTTTTTGATGTATCGTGCTGTAGTCGTTCGAAGACCTCAACCAGGGCCGCATTACCGAAAGACCTTTCAATCTCTACTGAAATTGAAATCAAGTTACCTGAAAAACCACCAGAACGGTCAGAAGCTCCGCCCTTCAGTAGGCGTAAGTGAATTATCACATTGTACTTAGTTTGCGCCTTGCATTATGCCACCATTGCATTGCAGTAGTGACTATTTTATTCAGTACGATACTCCCATATGTATGACTCAGGATGGCATGGTATGAATCCAGCATTGTCTCGGAACTTATCCACAATCTCAGCATGGTTGCCTCACAATTCACCCATCCGCACTCAAACCATGTGCATGTTTCGGCCACTACTCTTGAACTTGAGGAGCAACGGTATTCCATTACAAACCACCGTATCCGTTCTTTATTATTCAGTTCCGCAACGAGTGCTCATTGCTATGGTTTTTCAAAAATCCATATTTCTGTCAAGTAAAGACATCCTTGCCCGGTTCCTAGTTGGGATTCAATGCGGGTTCTCTCCTAAAGCCTACAAGATCACTTATTCACTGAACAGGTACTACTCCTACGGGATGGAAGTTGCCTTTTCTGTGGCATAAGCAGTTCGGACCCTTCAGTTGATTTTATTTGTCCACGCATATGCTTAACTTGGATTCGTATTTCGTAGACGACCTTACACAGCCTTCTGAGTGCCCCTGATTAGTCTACCCAGGAGACGTGATTAATACGAGCTCAACTTACCATTTCCAATCGGGTAATATTTAAGCCCCAGAGACTGATTCAATTTCTTTTTATTAGTCGTATCTTCCTGTGAATTGTCACCAGTCTACTTGTTTCAGTTCGTTGGGAGAAGCTTAAAGGAGTATGGCTATTACCTGTCTCAGTATTCGAACCTGGACATTGGCATGGGTATTTTGAAAGGATGCAACGGGCTTCTTGCTGATTTATCACCCTGTTCACATTTGATAATGGTCATTTGCAAACTCTTTAGAAGGCACTCACCATTAATGTTGGGTAAATAGCAAGCGTTGCAAACGATTTACGACAAAGACGTTCATGTTGGCGACACTGTTGAATGGTGATGTTCTCATGGAGGGCATCATCCATCTATTATTGAAGGCCATGGCGGTCCATCTTGGAAAGTCGTTTTAGTTGATGTTAATGCAAATTCGATTCACCACAATTATCTTTGCGAAGTTGGTATACCCTGTTTATTAGGCATGTCGTTTGTGCGCCGAGGCTTCACTAAAGCGACGCGGTTTTTCGTCCCTGAAGCTCCATTCCTCCGCGCGAATCCAAGATTTTCATTGGGCTCTAGCTGGCAGTTTTGTTAATATGATGAAAATCTTACCATTTAATGTTACGTGTAGCTTGAGACAAATAAAAATTGAAGATCTGGTTTTGTTAGCCTTCTTGTTCCCTTCTCTTTACCTAGTTTACTACAAAAGTTAGTGAATTTAGAATTGCCAGGTTGGTGGAAACATTAAACATTTTATTCATGTTCTGTTTCCTCGTCGATCTTTCGGAAAATGTGAAAATTATAGAGACGCTAGTCCTTTTCCTGTACCGACTATTATGGAATTCAACATTGTTCTAGATTTCCTCGGTCATTATTCTAACTCCTCTAGACGCATTTCTTGCATTCTCGAGCGATTCAAGTGCACCTATCGCTCTCCTTTCTTTTAGTCTAGCCGTTTGGCTGGCATTTATGTTTATGCTGATATGAATGATGCTCAGGTTCAGGTTCGAAATGGCATCATATGAGCTAGCAAGTTTCTTGTCATATGCGACGATAGTTGTTAGGATCTTCACTGAATCCATTCCATAGGATCCTATTAGTAAGGGATTTATTCAATCCTCCCCTAGTTTAACTACCTATTTCTGTTCTTTTTCACAGCACATAAGAGCGTTGTACGAGCTAATTGAACTTTTTAGCTACTTGCATTAAAAGTGTCATGACCAAATGCAAATTTTATTCTTAATCTTTATTTGCATCCGTTTACTTATTTAGAAACCTAGGTATTTCAGCTACTGGTGGACCTAAACACTTTTGTGGTTTGGGTGCATTGGGCCATGATCGCTTCTGAGCGTAGTCCAATTTTTAGCTTTCAAAGCCTGTATGCTTTTGACTTAACGAAGGTCTTCGGCACCATTTTTGCTTCTCTGGGCACCTCCATTGACTTAGTATTTTACTTGTTGTGAGCTGTAAAAAATGTCTTTTGTATGCATGTGAAGATTTTGACGAAGTACAGAACGTCTGCCAATCGACATTGATAGAGAGTGAACAAGATCCTTTGCCCGAGGAGGTCTACATTTCCATTGGCATCGACACTGGGCGCGTCTGTTCCGCGGATTCCACTACCCTCTGCGAAGCCGCCACCTCTAGTCTCCACGTCTTTAGAATCCCACTTGACAAGTAAGTCCCTCCTGACTACCTTCTCCCACTTACTTGCCACTTTGCTCGTTCACCGCTCCTTCAAAGTCTGCCCCTCCTCTTAGATATGGGTTTGTGGACCAACATCGCAGCCGTATGGCGCTTTGCACACCTTAGTGAACGGATGCATTTAGTTGCTCGTAGCTTTTAATAAAGGGCATGCATTTCCGTGTGAATGCTTTGTCATGATTATTGTCTTCCGTATACATATTCAGCCCCTGGCTCAAATATTAGGCGACTTGTTGCTAACCTATTGCTGGAATAGGGATGCCACGAGGCCACCCCAATCTTGACTACTTAAGATCAATTGTTGACTTGTCAAGTTGGTATGTCGGTGTGAAATTATTGGTGCTAGTGGTTTCAGATTTAGCATAGCTACCTTAGCGTACACCATTTGTTGACACTGATTTGCGTTGGTCTATTCTCACATCTATGAAGATGCCGTTATAGATTCGACCTTCCTGCATTGTTAAGGCTTAAGACCTGGACCAATTCATTGAGCTTGTCTTTTAAAGTCAACTACCGAAATATGGTCTCCCACTAGCGGTGTTCTATTCGCGTGTCTAAATTAGGTTCTTCGATTCTTACAAGCCTCACATTAACCGTAGTGGTTTAAGCCGTGACGGTCTCTTTCAGTAAGTCTGAGTGTTTTCAGACTTGCAGACATCCACGACATTCTTGTGTCGGCCACAAACTCGGTTGTCAGTCAGCCCGCTTCCTCCGACCTGGATCGTAGAAGAAAGCCTCTACCCAACATTTCATCGGTGAGTGTCTCATTCAAAGATGAAACTCCTCTTTGGTGCGGAGTGCAGCAATGTTAAGCATAAAAATACTTATCCGGATTTCCTCCTCATTAGCAATCCTGTAAGCACTAGTAGATTGCTCCAGTCTTATTCAATGTGCTTAAATTTTTTTGTCATAATTGTAGTACAGATCTTAGTTCCACGATCGATCTGCGAATTTGGTTTTGAATTTGACTAAGCGAAGTCCCATGCATTTTTGCCCATGGTATTCGTCTGACTCATCATTGTTTGTCTATTTCGTACAGTACATAGTTGAACCGGCACCTTCTACCTACTGAATCCTAGAAATGACCCCAAATATGAATCTCGATAATGTTATCGGAATCTCTTTTGTAGACACATGAATTGTTATTTCTCATGATCTTTCGAAAGATCTGTTATAAGTAATGGTCTTGTCATTCTACGTGGAAGCTAAGCACTTGCCGTAAGGGTCAATGCTACTAACGTGGCACAACAAGACTCGCGTAGCTCTTCAAAATAGATTTGTTTAATCTTGTTATGTCCTTTCCTCCTAATCCAGGAATCTCTCGCATAAATTTTGCGTCAACAGCAGAACTTTTCCAGGACTAACTGGTTAGGGCTGGCTGTTTTTCAAGAATTTTTTATTGTTGTTTATACAACTTTTAGTTGTCCAGATCTCTGCAAAATCTTGTTAGTTAACAACTTCTCCGATCGCATACTTTGAAATTGTGGAGTAGGGGTTAAATCATTTGGGGCACAAAATATGCGTTCCCTTACCGTTGAAATGGGCGCCCCATATTTCATCTCAAATAGGCTAGAAAACAATCTAAATTAGGAGTTTTGCCTAACATAACCTTCTCCACTGCTGCAATTTAAGGATTCTTTCGTAATTGACGTGAGACATTTACAAAAGTTGTTTTTGAAGTAGTTAATCCCCATTTATTTCCACCTGCGGTAAATCTCTATTCCAGCTATGGCTAGAGGGCGGTTTAGTAATCCTACTTTTCTTAATCTTGTGCATGCGAGTCCAACGTCAGAGGGAAATATTGGCGACACGATAGTTGATAGTACTGACCGATGCGTATCTGCGCTCTGACGCCATAAACGGTCCGATCATTCCTGAAACGACTAGAACGCAAATAGAATAATACCATGTGGTTGATTAGTCAAAGACTGGAAGATCGTTTCGGAGCGTTTCAGTGTCATTTTGGACCATGGTCGTTTTCTCTCTTATTCAATCTCTACTGATCAATGCGGATGAACTCACGTGACTTCCTCTTATTACCTGTTTACCCCTCTCCGGAATCATTCTTGACCATTAAAGAATCATTTGTGTCTTTTAAACTGCAGGACCAGAAACCATCTTCAGTAAGCATAATAGAATCAGCCCTCGAGGAGATGGAGAAGAATATCCTGGAGCTCAATTTGGTGGGAGGCACAAGCTGTATTCTGACTGAAGCAATGCTTAGGGACGTAAGTCATGCACCGAACACGCCTCCATTTATTGACTTAAGGATTTCGTAATTTACCTAACTGTCTTGACTGCTGTTCTAGACAAGGATTGTTTGAAGGCTTGAGTCACACTAAAACATCAAATTGTTTCATTCATGCCAACTGTCTCATGCTTCTGTACGTCAATGCCTTCCCTATTTCACTCACCGTCAATGAGTTTGCTCAGTCGCTACTTGTTTATGAGGTTGTCTAAGTCTACAAGCTTCGATCATTTGGAACTTATTCCAAATTTTTTCACGACCCGAATTTAGCTTTGCATCAACTCCTGATCTTAACAAAATGTTGGACAACTTTTAACAATGCCCTTTCAAATCATGACTCTCGCCGATTTTTTTTAAAATGTGGTAGAGACGACGGACTCCAATTCGACTCAATTGGCGTTAATATGGAGGAATGTTTTCATCCCCGAAGGCAAATGGAGAACGACATTAAACTAACTGGCGTTTGCTTTTCTTAGCTCTCGAAGGGTCTACCAGCTAACCGAGCAGGCACTGCATTGCGACTTATCTTCTCAACAGCTAAAGACGGTTTCAGTCTAAACACGCTTTACCGAAAGACAAAGTGTGTGCAGGACGTCAATCTTCTCCTCATTCTTGATCAACAAGGCGTTGCCTTTGGTGCCCTCCTCTCGGAGAAAATGCACTGCAGCCAAAGCTTTTACGGCACTGGCGAGAGTTGTGTATTCCATTGGAGGGACGGTTTTAAGGTGGGTAAGGCGGTAAACATTAATAGAATGGCACACCTGATGATGTGGCACTGGTTATTAGACAACAGAATATGCTGTGTAGATTACACGTTTCCATCAATTAATTGGAATGCAGAAGCATCGCCCTTATCTGTTTGAGTGGTTGTAATTCTACTGGAACTCAGCGTTTTGTTTTTGAATGCACCTTCTACGTGAGTAGCGTGTTACATGTTGGCCGCAAAAGCTAGCTCAAAGTGGCATATGATGTTTCACTGTAAGTCCTTCACGCCATGCCGTCAAATTCTGTGACGCGCATAACCCCTTCCTGGACAAGTGAATGCAGCTGATACCTGTCCTACTTGCCATATAAGAGCGCTATTGACAAACGTAGAACCCGGTACACACTTATTTCTCAAACCGACATGCGGCACTCTAGCCGGAAATAATCTTTATTTTAGTGCTACAATTGGACAAAGAAGAACTACTTTTTTATGCAAGGCTCCCATGACAGTTTTCTTATTGGAGCAAAAAGGTATGTAGTCATATGACCGCCTTTTAGGTCAGTTACCGTTGATCAACACTTCATTGTTCTCTATCATTCGCCAAGTAAAATACTTGTTATTTGCACTTTTACGCCCTGATGACGATTTGCTACGCCCTGTCCTCATCTCTACTTAGTAGTCAAGCATTCTTGATTGAGGTAGGTGGCGAATTATACACAAATTCAAACCTGGCCATGGACACATTTCTTTTTTCTCACAATGTGCAAAGATTTAACGGATATTGATCACTTTGAACAGCGGCCACAGCGCGATTTGGTTTGATGGAGACCTGAAATATGGCCGCAGTGAGGCCACAGACACCTTCGACAATCCCGTACTTTGCTCTATTCCAAGCGAAAACAATCGAAGGACGAAAGGCGAAACCAGTCCAGTTGGCACAGTCTGCTCGAGCTCTTCTTCCATTTCCCTTCGCGATACCTGTGGACCCTCCAGTGTAGCCTTTGTCATCAGCGCTCTCGAGGTTTGGGAGATGATTCCTTGACGCAGAGTCGTCTCTTAATTTGCATCTTACTCGACTCATGTGCCCGCACAAGTTCAATTTTTTAAAGAGCTTTATGCAACTGTTTTCTCTCTAGTTGTCACTTTACTCCATGATTGCGTGGCGTTACTCACTAATTCCCTCCTCTGATACATTGGTAATAAACGAATAGGCGGATCTACATAAAACAGTTTAGTAGTTAGACGGCGCACCATCACTTATTTCGGGAAAGCAAGCTTGTGTGGTATGACCATGTGTTTGGGAGAGAGGAAGACCGGAACCAAGTGCAAAAGCACACTAAGAGCTTGCGACAAAGTGCTCTACATCAAGCGTTGCCGCTTATCGGGAGTCGCTTCCACGGAGCCCTAAAAAGTTTTGCACTTATGCATTTGAATGTCGTCAGAGGCTACTCAATGGTAATAAATTGGCAATTACTCACAGTTTGATTGGATGGAGTTGGGCCACCAGAATGTGAGACCTGCTGGGATGCAGACAAAGTAGAGCCACCAGAAAGAGTGTTGGGGAGTGGAGGCATCGGGAACCGACTGACCCATTCGTTGAGGAGGAAATCGGTTCTATGCACTTGGTAGGGGTTGGTTGCAACCATCTCGTCTCTGGATCTCTTATCGTCCTCTCCGAGCTTGTCCGCCACGGCATTGGGGTCCTCCCATGAGTAGGACCCATCAGGGGGATGGAAACGTGCACATGGAGCGAGCGTTTGGATGGCTTTGTTCAGCCCTGCGATAATTGTATGAAGTCGGGAATTTATCAGAGTAGAGAGGTCCGGGGCCTGGCGCACGATTCCGTTGATTACGTAATAATATGCAAGTGGGACGACTTCAGACGGAGACAGCCGCTCTTGTTTACGAATCACAAACAACACTGGCTCCTAGATTTAGCAGTGTCCATAAATGAATCGACATCGAAAAAAAAATAATTATAGAATAATTCGGACTTTATACAGCTGTAGACGACCTCTCATGGCGTATTAAATAGGACATTCAAGCTCTCAGCAATTCATAACAGGACAGAGGAGGATGTGACGGTAACCTACCTGATATCGATATAGATAAAACTCAGTGCCGCGGAGTGATGTGAGTTTGTCTTGGCTAAGGCCTTGCATGCGAACAACTTCATTATTGCATTCACGGTCATAAAATGGATTTGATAGGTGGCAGAAGTACTGAAGAATGTTGGAAGAATTGAGCTGATGAGGACTGATAGCAGGATTTTCCCAGTGTATCTCATAGGGTGATGTATGATCAGAAGTTGAGCCATTCATGTTGAGCAGAGAAAATACAGTTGCGTTCTAAACAATCTCCAACTTTGACTTAGTCTCTCTGACCTTCTTTTCGAAGTAACTTTGCTTAGCTTGAAGATATCTGATCCTAAGAATGTGTGAATAATACCCAGCTACAAAACCCAGACCGAAGGTCAGGACAAAAAGCATCGATGCAGCCCTCATTAATGAAATCACAGGCCCCTCAACTCGGCTAAGTGGCATACGATCATCTTGAATATGATTGGTAATCCTTGTTTTATTCGCAATAAAATTAAGTTAGTTGAAATATGCAGTTGTTTCAACAATCAGAGTTAATTATAGAATTAGTTAACCAATTAATTAATTTTTAATGTCCTAAATAACTCTTTGCCATTCCTATCTCGCATCTCAGATCGCATGACTTCAAGACCATATGAGGTGAGAAAGGCTAGCATTTTCTGTGATGCTATAGGTTAATAATAATAATTCGTTATGTAACCACCTGATGTTTTGTAACTAATTTGGAATTCGTTTAACCCTTCTGCGCATGGTCTGACTTTCTGACCAAGCTAAGATTCTATCGCTACTTTCAGCTCATTGTAACACCTTCTATTTAGTGGAAGTATTGGGTATTCCAAGTAAAAAAGAAAAGGGATTAATTCGACTTGTCCCAAAGGCCAGCTCATGCCTATAAGGACCAGACGAATTTTAAAGTAACTTCCAGATATCACGTGGTCACATGAACAAAGTATTGCGCTCCCACTCCCTGCTTTTTAGTCTCGTTCTCTAATCTTCCCTTGGTACATCTGCTCCAGCCATCACAACGTATCTGTTACTACAAGGTAACACCTACGGGCTAGCCTCGTTAGTCAGCGACCACCATGTGACTAAGGTATTGCGCTTGACCATTCCAGCAGGCTGTCAATTTTTTCCAAGACTGGGCTTTGATAAACGGATCCAAAGCAGATGATTACAGCGAACACGCGATCAATCACAGTCGCATATGTAAGGCAGCACGGAGTAGTGTCATTTCCGACATCTATAAGCGGACGCAGTAAGGAAAATACTACTACGAAACTGTTCCAGGTTGTTCACAGTGGTGCAGCTTGAGCTGCTAATAGATTGTCTATGGAACATGGGACGAGGTGGAGCTAAATGCAAACACCATTCCTAACCATTTTGTTGTGATGAAGTTATGAAATCTCCGGATCGACGTATATGCTCTTCTTCAGCACTATCAATATGTGCCAAGTGGTGAACACCAGAGCAGAATTCATGAATAAAGTCGAGTTCGCATTTCACTGTCACTCAGGGCTTCCAATTGGGTGGAGGAAGGCATGTATACATGTATTCTAGGGGAAAAAAGGGACTGGAGATTGGTTTGGCCCTAAAGCCAGTCCACGCCTACAAGAACAAGAAATATACCGAATTAACAGCCAGATATCAGGCGACCCTATGAGCAAAGTTTTACACTTGCTGATTAAAGAATTTGGTATAAATTCATGAAATTCTAAAACATGTGTTTGGATCGCGTGATCGGTACCTTCTCAATTTTGAAAACATTTCCTCGGTCTGCTTGAATATCGTGCCTCTGCATCAATCTAGGCAGATTATTCCTCTCATTTTTATTTTGGTGGCTTTTACTCTATGCAATTTATGCTAGTCGCATAGCATCTTAGCCCGAACACTAGTACTTGGTTTTGGACCGATGCTGTAATACGTCATTTATTGGGCTGCCGAGTTATGCCAAAGTTTTACATCTTCCGACTTGCTGAAAGAAGTATTTAGCCGAGGCTTACGTATTCTATTGCCTAATGCGAAGTCTCGGGATGCTACAGGTGCTGATATGTATTCTCAAAATGGAGTATTTAAAATCAGATACCTGTTTTATCGTGTGAGCACGATATAGTTCAGCATAGTGTAGGTGTAGCGTTCTAGACTTCTCAAAAGATAAAAGAAGTCCAAGGTTGTAATACAATCTTTATATCTTAACTTTGTTATTTATCTTGCTCTTGCACGCGTGAACTGGTCCTCAGGTTGGACCAAAGACAAGTTTCTTCTTTTTATGTCTAGTGAGACGTCTGGGGACTCTACAATGCTGATGTGACTAAGGAAGTCTGTTGTCGTAACTAATTGCCTTACGCACAAAATTTTATGGTGTGCTATCATTGTAGCGAATTAAATGGTTCTGATTAGGCTCTTAAGCTTGTACTTCCTTTTATTTCACATTGTCCCAATCTTACACTAGCAATGTCTTAATAAACCATACAGTTTGGAACTATTTTATCGCTAATGTAGAGAGGATAAACGTTATTTTACAGCATTTACCAAGTTCTGCTTATAGCTTAGTGACGTAATGTGATTCCAGCTTTACATATTTTGCGTTAAAAGCTAAATATTTCAGCAACAATAAACACTATATTAATGAACAATGTTTAATGCATTTGATAAAATTAGCTTTGGGGTCTTCGACATTAGACTTTTCAAAGATGCTGTTTTAGTCGCACAATTCTGCCCATTGTAAGGAATTAATGCTTTACAATGAGTAGCTATTTTCCTTAAATACGGGGTTTACTCGAGCAATATTGCAAGTTTCTTCCCTGCAATTGCAGATTTCGATAGAAGGATTAACTAACTGAAGTGTTTTAAAAGAATTGTAAGCTTCGCTCTCGGGACTGATGAAGTATAAGCGAGTTCGGTGAATTGGAAGAGAGTGGAAGGCATCACGGTATTTGGCTGGTGTGCGCGTTGAGACTTTTGCCGTTCCCATGCACTTCAGACAGTGCTATGGGGCAAATAATACAAACCCCTATTATTTTATTAAATAGGCAAATAAACACCTGAAACGTTTGCTTCCATGCTCGCATTTTTACCAAGTTCATGCGTATAACAAAAGTCCGGACAAAAACGGTTAATCAATGTTTGTGGGGCCGTTTTGCCTACATCAGATATTTGCGTTTATAAAAGGAAGTGGAAGCCAAACCCCTGGTTGCGTTTCATTCATATTAGCTTGGGCCTGGATTAGTGTACGACGAGTGTCTGATAACGTGGGGAGTTTCCTTTTCGATCGTAGCTAGGATTTGCCAACTAGCTGCAGAACTAAATAAAGTACAGATTTTTATGACTGAATCTCAACTAATTAAAAAGAAAAATTTAGTTCAGAAAATTTTAAGATGATAGGGAAAGCAATGCTGAATTGCCAAAAAATTTATGCAATGTATTCATCATCAACATACTTCAATTTTTGTTGCAAACAAAGTGTTACTAATTTGGATAAAAAGTAAGAACCGCAAAAGTAGTATTTGGGACAAACAAACAGCCGACATACTTGCGATGCCGCATTTGAACGCTTCCCGTGTGAAGGTAGAACCTATATCCCAACACATGCGATAAGATTGAGTGTTATTTTTCAAGGCGGCGTAAGCTTTGTTCTCTAAGAAATTCAGTTTTCGACCTTGCAAGACATTTCAAGGTCATATTGGGAGAGAGAAGAAAACGCAGTCGATTATCGACGCTGATAGTTTCGAAAGATGTCACTGTAGTGTCCTTAAAACTGAAGAAGTCTTATTACTCAGGTGGAGTATGCAAACGCGGAGAACGGGAATGAAATTAGGGCTGCTGGCAGGGATCCATAAGGCAGTATACGCTTTTTCGAAACCTATGGCGAGCACTTTGGAGTGGACGCAATTGTCTTAACACTTGTTACTTACCCTTACAACTGTAATCTAAAACTAATTGAGCACACAATCTCTTCCCTTGTCTGTTCAAACAGTTTGTGCCGCTACCAATTACTTCCTATGCCAACCTTGAAAAACTGGAGAAACTTCAAGTTGATATTTGGTGCACTGCTGCGAACTTTTAAGCGTTTTCGCATACCCTGTTGAAGTCACAAACGTTGGCTCTAAATATCTCGGGACCGAACATCGATAGGACCAGATTGATGATTAACTTTTCATTTAACTCAACATGATTGTTTGGGAACTCTTTCACGTTAATCACGCAGTTAATGTACATGTACGTAAATTCGAAGATCAGATTAAAAAATAAACCACCTCCAGAAATACAGGCAGGCGAGACGTTGTGAACGTCGAAGGAAAAAGAGAGTGATCGTACTTTCTATTGGCGCAATGTGTAAGTTCGACTAATTTAAGGCTTTTATCGAAAAATTCAACTGGATGTCGCATTGTTTGCCTATCTAAAAAATGGGGTGACATTTGCGTTTTCTGCTTGTGACTTCATGAACGGTCATTTGCTAATCTCATCACATCAAAAAAACGATTCCTCACTCTACATAGCGCTATCAAGAGGATCGTTGACATCAACCAGATGTCTTAGCACCGACTTCTTTCCCTTTCGGAGGCACTGAAATAGAATTCTCCGACTTTCGCAAGACCAGTGGTCTTGAAACGGCTTCGTGCTCTCCAGTAAATGTGGCGGTCAACGCTTAGTGCACGTACTTTTTAGGCAAACAAACATGCAAGACGGTTGTTGTTTGGTAGACTCTTGCTTCCAGCGAAAGTTTCTAAAGAGCCAGAAAAATAGCCCTTACTTATAGTGAATGACAATTGTATTTTCATTCCGAACCACCTAACACATCTACGTGGGTCCCATCAGCTGAGTTTACTTACCGCTTTGAATTACAAGACACCATGAAAATGGGATTGAGTTACGCGTTGCTTCGGAGAAAACCTTAATTACCCTTACAACATTCCATTGTTCTTTCTCCATCATGGTGTTGTCTATGGCAGCAACAATAAGAGGTGCACAGTTGGCGTTTTAAGTTTATGAATGATAGATTTTAAAAACACATTTAAATGAGGCATAGTAGTTCGTAATTTGACAGTGAACGCTCAATGCCAAGAATAATTTTCAGCGTTGTTTTATTTTGGCTGTTTCTGCATCCTAATTTGAATAGTATTTCATCGGAATTGTTTAAACATTTGTTACTCCTACTACAAATAACCAATTATCTCCTACTTTTATGGTAGCAGCGAAGCTGTCTGCGAGGGTTGCTATTGTTT